TCAGCTAATTCCCTCAGCACTCTGGGGTGGAGATCGTCCAGACCAGCTGATTTGAATACATCCAGTCCCTCCAGAAGTTCCCTGACTAGATCCTCCCTGACCCTTGGCCTAGGTGCGCCTCCCCTGGGGCCTGAGGGGGCCCAGTGGGGGGACTGATGTGGTCCCTGCTCAGGAAAATGGAGGCAAAGAAGTCGTTAAAGAGGTTAGCTTTGTCGTCATGCTGCATAGGATGAGCAGGAGCAATTTGCTCCTGTGTTAGCATCTACTTGTGCGTTCAGGTGCATTAATATAAAGCACAATTGGATAGTACCTGTATCCATTGGTAATAGCAAACTCTGCTTCACATTAATCTACTGCACAGCGATTGCTGCGCACATATAGATGGTTATAATTTACTGTGCATTAGATTAGTCTAATGTGCAGTAAAGTGCATGTGTAGATGTGCGCATAATGCAAATTAGTCCAAAGTCAAAAAGGCTCATGACTTACCGTATGGTTCAGTGGGCTAGGCACCAGCAGAGCCAACAGCATTTTAAGCCATGGGGATCCCATAGCTTAACACTGCTCAGTATGTAAATCTAGATACCTCCACCAAGATCCATGTGTTAATTAGCCCCCCACTCACAACTGGAACTGGGTGTTTTTGTTATGAGTCCTGGGATCCTCCAAAAATTTACATACAGATGAAACACAGGGTAACCTGTCCCAGCTCTATGTCATCGAGGGTAGGACCACACTAATCATATGCACCAGGCTTAGAGAGGAAGTGACAGAGGGATTCTGGGTGTTTAGGAACCTGTTTGGTGATGGTTGCCAGGCATCTAAGACTGGTGAAGAAGCAGGAATAATTGGAAATGGGACAGAAACGTGCAGCTCAGCTGTGGGAGTGAAGAGGAAGTTGAAATGTATGCAATATAGTGGCTCACCATGACTTGAGAGTCAGTGGTGAGGGGGACTGAGCTAAATGGGCAGTACTATATATATAATCTTATTATGATAGGCTGCCCTAACCTAGCCTTGGGGTCAGGGGAAAGACCATGACCATCAAGGTGGTTTTCTTACTGGTTGGGGAAAACCATGAATACAGTAAGGGGTAGTACTCTGGCTGAGGTAATACATAGTTAGTCTCCCACTTTCACTTCCAGTGGGAAGATCTTGGCTATATGCCGACTTTATGAAAATGGGAGACTCCTCCCAAGCCAGCTCCCGTGGCCATATGGCTGAGGTCAAGTGAAACTTGGCGACATCTGAACCCCAAAATCCCTGGGATTGGGCTGTACACAGGATGCCCACCAAAGGATTTGGAAGTATCTGAAGTCCCAGGTGGGGACGGAGGATGATTGCTGGTAGCAGGGCCACATATGGTTCTTGAATGACTCACATGGATTTGGAACTGATTTGACTTGGGACACGAAAAATTTTCCTTAAAAAAAAAAGGAAAAAAAAGAAAAAGTCAGCCTTTTGGCTAAGATCAAATGTAGCACCAAAGGGAGGGTGTCCAGGCTGACTCTGATCCTTTCTGGTGCCAGCCTGGTGGCAGTTCACTGTGGAGGGAACATCTACCTGTTTTGTGTTTTTTTGTGGGGGGGGGTTTTTTAAGGGCCACACCAAGAAAAGAAAAAAAAAGAAAAAAGGTTCTCATCGTATGTTCGCCCAATGGACCATGTGTTTTATAGTTATGCTTAGTGTTGGCTGCATTTAATCAGCCTCATAGTTTCCATTACTGAGCATATGCTGCTTTTGGCAGCAGTTCAAAGATAGACCATGTATTTAATGAGCTCTCCTTGCATGTGAATATAAGATGAGGAGCTCTCCCCCATGCTGAGCGAGGGAATAAAAACCTCATCTTATATTTGAGTAAATACAGTATTTGTCATGGAGCCATAAGAAGAACTTGGTCCTCAGACAAGTATCTAGGGGAACAGGCCCTGTTTTTCTGCTAAGCCCTAAGGCCTCCTCTCTTTGCAACAGGAAACTTGACACCCCCACTACTCTGAAAACAAGTCCTGGCTTTACCAGTCTTGTTTTTTGCCACAGCTCTGTCAGCAAGTGCAAAAGAACTTGAACCCCTGTTTAAGAATTAGCATCTTTAGAAGCTATGCAAACAGATGTTTACAGTTATACAGGACACTCTTTTCAAAACCTGACAGCTTTTTTGGCTCACTAGAACATGGATTTTAGGGTCCTTAGTCTGGAATGGAAAAAGAAGGCTTTTAGGCTTGTCCATGCTGGCAGCATTATCTTTCTCTCTGCCCCTGAAAAACTAGGACATTCCACGCTGAGCAGCAGAGTTTTTAACGCACAGTGTCCTGACACCTGGGTTCTTTGTTTCAAGCACTCATAATGTTGTTTGTATTTTGCATCTGCTATGTATTGAAAGTTAACACCTGGTTATCTTTCAGTGTACTGCTAAGGTAACTCCAATCCTAGGTTGATAGGTCATTTACATTCAGACATGCCTATGTCACCAACACTCATCTTTTATTCTGCTGTCCCTGAGAGGAAGTTAATGCTTTCATGCCTAGTAGATCACAATATAAAACTGAGTCATAGAATCATAGAAAGTTAGGGTTGAAAGGGACCTCAGGAGGTCACCTAGTCCAACCCCCTGCTCAAAGCAGAACCATCCCCAACCAGATCACCCCAGCCAAAGCTTTGTCTAGACAGCTTCCGAAAACCTCCAGGGATGGAGCTTCCATCACCTCTCTTGGTAACTTGTTCCAGTGTTTTACTACCTTCCTAGTGAGAAAATTCTTCCTAATAAATAATCTAAACCTCCCTTGCTGCAACTTTAAACTATTGCTTCTTGTTCTGTCATCTGCCACCACTGAGAATAATCTAGCTCCATCCTCTTTCAAACTCCCCTTCAGGTAGTTGAAGGCTGCTATTAAGTCACCTCTCAATTTCTTCTTCTCTGGAATAAATAAGCCCAGTTCCCTCAGTCTTCCCTCATAAGTCATGTCCCCCAGCCCCCACACCATTTTTGTTGCCCTCTACTGGACTGTCTCCAATTTGTCCACATCCTTTCTAAAGTGGAGGGCCCAAAACTGAACACAGTACTCCAGATGTGGCCTCACCAGTGCTGAATAGCGGGGAATAATCACTTCCCTTGACCTACTGGCAACACACCTACCAATGCAGCCCAGTATGCCATTAGCCTTCTAGGCAAAAAGGGCACACTGCTGGCTCATATTCAGCTTATTATCCACTTTAACCCTCAGGCCCCTTGCTGCAGAGCTGCTGCCCAGCTAGTCAGCCCCCAGTCTGTACTGGTGCATGGGATTGTTCCATCCTAAGTGCAGGACTTTGCACTTGGCCTTGTTGAACCTCATGAGATTCCTTTTGGCCCAGTCCTCCAATTTGTCTATGTCACTTTGAATCCTAGCCCTACCCTCCAATGTATCTACTACTCCCTCCATCTTGGTGTCATCTGCAAACTTGCTGAAGGTGCTCTCTGTGTCATCTTCCAGGCCATTGATGAAGACATTGAACTGCCCCCAGGACCAGCCACTGTGACACTCCACTTGATACTGGCTGCCAACTAGACATCAAG